AAAATAGCCACAAATTATTTTGTAGTAGAATTCCAGAGTAGGTACATGCTCTGGTATTTTCCGATAACCATATCAGTCGTTTTAGGGCTGTTAGGGGCCCTGTATATACATCCCACAAGAATTTAATCTTCATTCGTGTGGATGCTAATCCACTTAGATTCCGAGAGTTTGTCGATAGTTAGGTTTGTAAAAGTATTGGAGTCAGTGGATTTCGAAGCATATATTAGACACCCGCCTCCTCTTTTGTCCACTCTACCATTCCTGTGGATGTCATAGTTATCAAGTATCAGCTCTGTATCAGGTATATCATTAGTAAGCCAAGTTTCAGTTACCAGGATCAGTGTTGGCCGTTCCATGTATGCCAAGCTGCGAGAGGAAGTTATTTTGTTAAGGAGAGATCGAGCATTTAAGAGCATAATTTTCAGGAAACCAGGGTTGTTTGGAGGATAGTTAGTAGGTTTTCTTGTTACTATTCCTAACTCTTGGTTGCCAATGTTATGTTTGGAGGGACTCTCAGATGAGACATTGTCAGCGTGTCTACTATTCCCTGAACAAACTGTGCTGCAAGAGGGGCTATTGTTTGCTGCAACCGAAAATAATCCCGTTGCATATATTGGTTTCTGGCCTCATTAAGTGGGTATCTGGAATCATTTCTCTACATTGGATAGTCTGTTTCACTGTTCAGATTGTAATTTCAGGGCCGAGGTACCCTGCTTTTGGGTTGTTTTGAGGTTAGTGCATGCTAGGTCTTACGTAGTTGTACATTTGTTGACTCATTTCGTGCGTGTACATACAAGGACCGTGAGCCAATCTATACCCGTTATGTTGATGGGGCTTTACGTAACTACTACGAGGGTTCGGGTGTATATTTCCGTTCATATGGTACCTAGTGGTGTCCCGTCAATTAGCCCATGTGTTTCCACCATTTATTATGGGTCCCGTTCTCAAGTTATATGTGCCTATAGGCATATTACGACCTCAGCTATTGAGGAGATCGTGCGTCTCACTCTGCTTTTTAATCAGCTCAGCACCCCTTGCTTGTCTGCTAGCGTGTGATTTTGTGTGGATAAAGCTATTTTTGCTGTTAGTTCTCACCTCGTGTAGTCTGTCGTCCACAGTTTGTCTACTACTCTTATTTCGACGAAGAGCACTTCCACTGACATGTTCCATCTCCTTTATGGGACCCGCCGCAATGCATGCATAGTTCTTTTTAGGCTTACATGCTGTTTGTTCGGCTTGTCACAAGGAAGGCATATGAACACCTGTGGAAAGACCTTGGTTTTAGGGGACTCCTTTACGGCTTTTGCAGTGAGATTATCTTGCTTGGCCGTGGGTGCAGTGTTATCTGCCAATATTTGCAGGTTATCTGTAGCGGGAGCATCTATGTCTACTTCATGTGTGGGGTCGGTAAATTTCCTAGGAGTGTTCTCACGAACTTAGAGACCCATTCCAGTGTTATTGCAGCTTTTGGGTTTCCCTTCACCTTAGTGTGTCGTTTGTTCACTTTGTATAATGCAAGTGTCACCTTGTGCTTCAGCGTCCTTCAATACTTCGGCATTGATGCTATTCATGGTTTTTAGTATAATCGTGTTCGTATCTAAGGTATTTTTAGCTACTTGTCGTTGGTTGAGGGTTTTGTCTGAGATTATTTTAACATTTTTGAATTTCGTAGTGGAGGCCAAGGTATCCCCAGATTTCCTAAATCGTTCGGCTATTATACAGCTGTCAGACCTGAAAAGTATGGGACATGTGCGGTTTGACTCTTTCTTATTTAGTCTAATACACTGACAGGGTGTACTTAAGAGGTTTGCAGCCCTTAACAAGGAGTACTGAACCGACTTTATGGGCTCATTGTCAGGTATGTTATACACTATGGCGTTCTGTTTAGAAGCGAGTCTCTTAACAACTTCGCTCGACAGATAGTCCATAGCGCTCTCTAGCTCCTTAGCATGTTCCAGTTCAGCATCGATTGGTTTAGTCCTCAATTTAAGGAGTTTTGGGAAAGTGAGATCCCCCAGTTGCTTTTTAAGATGGAAGATTGTTTCTGGTACCAGTTCAAGTAGATTTAGTTTCGTCCTGAGTTCACTTATTTTTGGCTGCATGCCGTTTATGATGCAGACTAAGTTTGCGATTTCCGCCTTTTCTGACATGATATCTTCCACCTGTATTACAGGGGTTAGCATCATGTTGAAACTGTTTGTATTGGGTGATGATGCGTTAATAGATAAGCTTAAGCTATTTTCTAAATTACTGGTTTTCCTTAGAACACACCTTTTAGAGTTTTGCCCATTATAATTGGTGGTAATATAGCAGTACCGATAAATGAATATCAGCGAAAACAGTCAGTCTGCAGTGAATAGCCCACCGTATCGACTACACTGACACAACCCTCAGTTGTTGCGCGCGATTTTGGCAAACTCAAAGAATAATGGTGCCTAGGATTATATCGTGTAAATTGTTTTACCTGTGCAAAGTGTGCCCACTGACATTATTCTATTTCCTTTCTTTGTATATATAGCCTATGCAAGTGAAAATTGCAAATATGCTTACTCCGTGTATATATTATTTATCATATCGACGATGCTTCCTAACTGGCGTCCCTCATGTATATAAAGTGAGAATATATTAAAAAAGGTACATTCATAAAGATAATACTGCTACGAATATCCCCATGTGTCCAGGTTTTTAGCGACCAACTGGGAAGCATTTGTCACGGAAGCTAGTGACGTGCAACACGCTGCATGATTGGGACAGCCACAAGACAGTGTAATAAGACAACCACAGTTATTACAGTCAAAACCTCAGAGCCAAACATCACTAAAACGAGGAAAGGTGGCGCTGCTGATCGTAAGATATGGTGGCGGTCACAAATGTGAATTATTTCAGTGTCTAGGACAGCAATACTCATTTTGATGGCTCGAGATTTAAATATGAGTATAGATCCTTATCTTAGAAAAGAAAAGTGATTGCTTATACCTGAGGACAACAGGTAATGCTCCTGCCCCTAACACCTGCCATTGTGATCAGATTCTTGTCATGAAAAGGTTCTGTGAACCCTAGATAGATTTGTGAGACATCTTATAGGTTAGCATGTTCTTCATTTTCGGTTCTCTAAGGCCACTTTCAACCAAACTCTCATTTATACACTTTATAATGGTTTTAACTTGAACACCAATATTTTCTGATACATGTTATCTGTTCAAGCTCTTTATGATGTTTACACTTACTGCTTTCATCCATATTACCGGTTCCTTTAATATCTGCTTGTGCAGAAAAAGGTACCTTGTTTTCGAGCAAATGTATATTTTCGATAGTAAGGCCAATATGGCTAACATTAAATATTGCATAGGTACACTGTCATTTTAAGTACTGTAAGGCTGCTTCCTGTGCATCTTCTGTAAATATATTTTTAATGGTAGATTATCCCTACTTGTTCTTCAATCCACTTTGCAGTTTCTCAGAGCGAAGAAACTTTCAGTCACACCTGCGTGTAGTAGTTACCTAGATATTACTGAGTACTGATTCGTCGACATTCTGCCACTCAAATTTACATCATATTTGACTGTGTCTGCAAAAACGACATGCTTTTAGTGCGAATTTAGCCGTTGATATGAAAAGTGTTATTATCATTTTAAAACTTATCCATTATTTCCTCTCTACTTAGGTTCAACTCCAAATTCAAGTGTTATCGATGTTTTGTTATCAATAGTATTTATTTAATTTTCCTATGACATTAACCCTTTTGTCACTCTAACCATCTGCTGTATAATTGAATTTTAGATTTTTCCCGTCAATTGATTGTCAACCTGAGACCGAACACTTCGGTCCAATCAATCGACGGGAAAATCCAAAATTCAATTAAATCAATATGACCCGTTGCACAAGAGGTGGCTCTCGTGGCCCAAGTGGTCTAGTGGATAACGCTTTGGCGTTTGAAACCATGGTCACTGGGTTCGAGCCTCGGTGGAAACATCATCACTCACTGAGAAATGCAGGTACATCCAGTGACGAGTCCTAAATAGGACGAAATGCGCATCCTGGATTCCACTGCTAGTCACCATCCACCAGTTAAATACTAATCATCTGATGTATAGTTTATCTAAATCCCTGCCTTTATGCCCTCTGAATGACTTATTTTACACGATGTAACTAGTGTAAAGGAATGAATTAAAGCCATATGAATAAGCTGAGACAGAATTCTATGTACATCTATGCTCGCTTCTTAGAGCTTGATTCTCAAGGAGTGACTTCACATGACTGCAGGATGTTATAAGAACATGTAATTCTCAGATGTCGAATACAACCAGTAATCTCCAATATAATGGTTCATTTATTGATGTGAAAGTCTAGAGAGTCTTAATATATTCAAGACCTATTTCTACCACCATAAAGCAAGAATGAAAGATGCAATCAGTTTGTAAGGCTGGACTTATCCGGCATGTTGGTTGGAATTTCGCTCGGCAAATTTTTTTTGTCAATAATTTTTAATAAAATTTTGTTATATGTTTTCTGGATTGATAGGAATTCTCATTTCCTGGCTAGTTATGTTGGTGTTCGCGTCATTTAATCTGACTGCGACACACTTAGCATATTGGTTGTAATGATTAGTGTTTCATGCTGAATGCGTCAAAACATCTCTACAATGAAGAAGATGGGGTAGTTGGGGGGTAATGTCATCTACACAAATAATTTATTTCTTGTAGAAGCTGCAGCTTTCGACATAGTGTCTTTCAATGAAGACTACGTCAAAATGTGGCTATTTTCGTGTGAAGAACAGTACTATTTTACAAAAGAATGCTATCAGTACATGGGAATCACCTATAAATGATAACAGAACGTAAAACCAATGTGTAAACGAACGGCTACGGAACTGCAGTCCAACATAACCGACTAACATGGAGGAAAATGACCTTTGAGCGTCTCACTCCATCAATGACCTTGAGCATGCGGGATAATTTCAGCCGTTTGTAATAGTCCTTAACCAGAATATCTGGGATTGGCGCGGCTTCTGATTGCTGAAGGTCAGTCCGCACTAAAGCCGGTTGTACTTCTCAGGCGGCCAGTGCATGCAAAAGTTGGGAAAAAAAATAATGAATAGGTTGGAAAATCCTCATGAAATTAGCCAACTGATGTTTGAAGAGGAGGCATTCTTTATTGGTTCACCCCTCAACACGCTTAATTCTAATATTACAACGGATTGCCAACACCACTCACCTCATCCGTCACTAGGTTCTTTTGGGTAAGTTTCAAAATCTTAGTGTCTAAAATACAGGTGTTTCTGATATTTTACGTGCATTCCGAGATGTGAGTCACATTTTACTGGTGAACGATGGTAGACAGTTAGGTGCAATCACTCCTGAGCTCTTTCTAAGGTTGTACAAAACATACGTCGGACCACACCTTGAATTGCATAATATTATTGCACCCCCACTGCTTAGAAGAGACGCTAAATTCTTGGAAAGAGTCCAAAGACGGGCAGCAAAAGGAGTGGTTGGTCTCCGAAACAAACCATATGATGAAAGGCTAAAGAAATTAGGCCTATTCACACTTAGCTACCGTCGTCTTAGGGGGATTTAATTACTGCCTACGAAATAACAAATGACCAGAATCACCCAAACAAAGGTGTTCTGCTATTGAGTCGGTATAGGCCCCCGCGTGGAAACCCCAGAGGGATTGCTCACCAGAGGGCAAGGACCCGGGTGTGCTCCCACTTCTTTTCACTGTGGGTTTGCCGTCCCTGGAATTCCTTGCCGGCACCGTCTGTGGACGCCTTTAAGCGAAGGCTGGAGAATCATTCAGAGAAACAAGGACTGCGTCTAAATGGCCTATCCCCTTAAAATCCCATACATCATTCAGGGGTAGATAACTAAGTTCATCGTTTTACATCTTTACATTCTCTCTTCCGTCTTACTCTCCTGACAACTTTAACTACACTTATTATTGTCATTATTTCCGATATATATGTATATAATGTATGTATATAATTTATATTATTCTACAAATTTAATCAGCTGACTGTTGTTACGTTATCTTTATTTGTTTTTCTGTCTGTTAGTCTGAATAACTTCACTAATTATATCTATTATTACTATTATTATTGTCTCTTTTCTTTTGATGACGATACTGGAGGACTAACTGGTGAAAGGACCAACTCCATTCACAGCAGTAACAGTCTTAACACACCTCATACTACAAACCACATATAATTAATCCCAGCACTAATCCTTTGGGAGTCAACTGAAGCTATGACAGTCTAGTGGCGGAACGAGCTACTCAGAAGTTTACCGAAGATCAGGAACCTATACCTCTCAATCAGGAGGCGAGCACAAAGAAATCAAATTGGTTTATACTAGCTCTTAAAAGCCATATTGGATTAGGCTTACTCCTCACGATACCATAGTACACCTATGGACACCTATGGATATCTATTTACTTATATCTAAGATGGAATATAATGTCATTAATTAAGATTGTATTCAAATTTATTTATCTGCATGAATTCTGCTTATATAAGCGAAAAACAGTGGTATCTTTGCTTCAATTCAGACGGAAGAATTTGAAGGTTGTTTTTCGGTTTGTGTATCACTGTGTTAATGTGTGAGCTCATCCTGATATTTTGTCTGACAGATACTAAGAAGTGTTGATGTTAAACAACTTTTCCGGATAGATAACTTATGCGGAAGATCAACTTAATCCGAACTTCGTTTTTCTAAATAGTTTTATATGGCAATTATTATATTATTATTGTTTCCTTTAGTTCCTAGAGGAACATAGAGTTTCAGCCGAACGTCTCCATTGCGTTCGGTCCTCCACCAACGTTTCCACCTAGCTCAACGTCCACCCACATGCTTTCATCTCCTCTTCGCATGGCCTCCTCCATGTCACCCCACCCTTTCCCTGACGACCAACTCGCCGCTTCCCATTCGGGTTCCACTCGAGTGATGGCCTGGTGTGTGATGTCACTCACTTGATGGTTTGTTTTCTCAGAGTATGGCTAACCCACCTCCATTTCTTCCTGCATATTTGTTGCACAATTGGTTCCTGCTTGGTTGGTTCGTTGCCAGAGACCTTCTCTGGCCGGCCATGTGATCTTGAGCGAAGACAGCTTTTGATGAAGGTGTGTAGTTCGTTTGAAGTGCCCTTTGTGACGCGACGCTGCGCCAAGTCTCTGATTCGTGTAGTGAGTAGCACTGACTGCACATTGGAGTTGAAAATGCTGATGTTATTTTTCATACTGAGAGCTGTTGATCTCCACACAGACTTGAGAGTAACGAAAGCTTGCCTTGCTTTCTCGATGATCCTCGCTTTGATGTGCTCATCAGTTCCGTCCGCCTGTAGTTGGAACGACGATGCTTCGCAGGTAGGTCGGTAGCTAAGTAGGTGAAGGATGTTGCTTCTTTCAGATTCCTCCCATTTATGCTGGCTGATTGTTGTCTGTTGTTGTTGCTGTTGGCCAGGAATCTTCATTACCACAGCTGTTTTCTCTATGTTCATCTGAAGTAAGTCCTATCTTTGATGTTTCTTCTGCCAACTTGTTGCTTTTCACTTGCATATCCTCCAGTTTGTGAGAAATCAGACATATATATGTCATCGGTGGAATTCAGATCCTCGAAGTGTTTTTTGTGTGGGTCAATTTTGTGCCTGTTTCCTCGTTGCCCGTCGTCTGTCACATTATCTAGTCTACCGCAATCAGGAAAATCAGTGGATATAGTAGACAGCTTTATCTTACTCCCGTTTTCATTTCGAAGTGTTCCGTGAGTTTCCCGTTGTGGATTACTTGGCATTCAGCATTATGGCTATTATCAAAAATAATAATTTTCATCTCTTGTCCGAATTTCTAGATGTTTGTAGCTACTCACAAATCATGAAGTCGTTTATGCAGTCCTGTATCATTAAGCAGGTGGAAGTATACTGGTACAATAATTATTGGGAATAATTATCATCATATCTTATTCAGATAGCGAAGTTCTCTTTAGACTTAGATTGTTGTTATTGTTACACCGCTAAGCTTTCAGTTATTCATACTAAATGATGTTATTCCGCATTAAAATTACCGAATGTTACTGTGAAATAAATCGAAATTTCTCAGTAATCGTGAGTTTTTAGTCATTCGACAGTCACTTAACTTTTAGAGTCACTGAAGTTTTGCATCCGTATATATACATATATATATATATATTTACTGGGAAATAGATATGAGAATAGATGATATAGTTACGGATATTTGATTGATTGCATGTTCTCATTACTTTGAACATGCTGTGGAGCAGATTCATACATTGATTTCTAGTCTGAAATGCGAAACCTGATATGACTCCAGAGGTGTTTAAAGATGCTGATGAAGTATGCACCGGGTTAACTAAGATATTAAGCAGTGTGTGGGAATCCGAGAGAGTCCCGTTAGACTGGTTAGGATCATCATGATGCTAAGAACCAATGACTGGAGACTGTTGATGATATGGCTCAAAATAGCTCTTAATGGCGCTGATGTATTCACCATTTGTTATCTCCCACATCCACTGAACTGTCATATTTTTCCATGTTACTATTCTTTCTCCCGCACATTTCTACTCGTTGTGGTTCTTTTGAATCTATTCTCTCTCTTTTCCCTACCTTTTTATGCTGCATGGAGTGTGCAACTTGAACTGGTGCACTTCTGTGCAAAGTTCTATGTTGAAACTCAGTTAGTTAGTCGGTTTCGGTAGGCTGGTGTAAATTCTTGATTATCCCAGTGACAATCGAGGTTGGGAGGTGGATGGGTTGTGTAAATTGGCTTGACTAACAATATCTAAAATTCTAGGTCCGCGAATCCCGCGTAGACTGGGAGTTGCTCAGGAGAAGTATTTGTCTTATCTTCAGCCTTCGATAAATTCTGGAACATAGACACTTGCTGGCGTCCAACACTTTCCACTTCTTGACATGAAGACGATATTCTATTCTGTTGACTGAAAGGTGCTGTGACAATGTCTGTTGGTGAAGGAAGTGCTCAGAAAGAACACTACACTAACGAAGGCATTCTACTGGGTGGGAATCACAGCCGTGCAAGAGCATACGAAGAGTTGTCATCTGACGACCAGTGATGTCCGTCAGGAACGCCCAGTGTCTCCGTTTTTGTTTAATTTCATCGTACATGTATTGATAAGTGTAACCGTGATTGATTTTAGCGACCTGTGGCAAGGAGCAGTCTCATGTCTTTATAGTATGCAGATGGTACTGTCCTTGTAGGTAAATCTGATGACGATATGCGGAGTCTTCTGCACACGTTGAGCAGAAATCTTAGTACGTTTGGCATACGATTCGCTTCTGTGAAATGTAAGATGATTCTATAGGAGTGTTTTGCATCGACTCATAGTTTAAAGATAGGAAGTAAAGTGGTTGGGTGTGTTGACCACTAGATTTACTCGAGAAGTTGCATCAGCATTAATGTAGTGATTGCTGACGAAATCTCAGCATGGATATGGAGGGCTTGTGTACATTTGTGAAATGAAGTTATCCCTGGTGTAGACGTGATGTCTGGCTATCGACAAAAAGTATGTACTGTTCAACAGTTCGCTTTTTCTCTCTTCATGACTGTAGGACAGAACCGTAAAAAGAAGAGTATATGAAAGGATCATCTGTGCGTAGTCATGATTGTTTGTGTCCTGTCTCCCGTGTAAAATGGCATAATATTATGACTTATATTGAGGTTGGGTGTAGAAAGTTAGGTGATAGAGGCAAGTCAACTGCTAAAGTTGTGAAGCTGCATCGATTGAGATAACTGGGACACGTGTTACACATTCGAGGCCGTCATCTTCCCTGTCGAGCAATGTTAGTCGACATAAGATTAGATTGGAAGAGGGTTATTTGTGGTGCAGTCGAAACCTGACATCAATGCTTGAAGCCTTTGACTAGTGGTTTGAGTCACGTAAGGAGATATAGACTATCTGACTGTAGTCCTTGAGATGTTTCATACTACCTGTGACATGGCTGATAATGGTTGGTAGTTGCACGGATGCGTTCACTCCGTATAATCTCTCGGATCCATTATAACAAGGGAAATTGAAGTCTCTTTAATTTCGTAGAAGTCATTGCTGTGAAAGTGTTAGAAGTTGACTTGTGCATTGAATAAGAAGCTGTAATGCATCTTTCTTCTCTGTGGCAACTGAGCTTTTTACTTTAATTGGTTGTATCACTTCCTCTAAATGCAAATATTTCTTTTTTTTTCTCACTGTAACGCAGTTACATAGTCATTTTCATACA